TCCTTCCTTCCTCCCTCCCTCTCTCCCCTCCCCTCCCCTCCCCTCCCCTCCCCCGCCACCCATAGTAACAAACCAGGAGGTAAAAAATTACAGCAACAAAACCCTTGATATATGTTTGATCTCATAACTGTGCAGGCTTAAGGTTCTTTTAAAAAATGTATTTTTTATTTTTAAAAATGAAGGAAGACCACAATGAATGTTCTGCATTAAGCAAAAGAAGTTCTGAAGGTTTTCTGTTTTTTCTGGTGAGAACAAAGGTATCAGTGACCCCCAAAGAGCAGATGCAATCTTCTTGAAAGTCTTACATGTATTAACTAGTGGTGCCATCTGCTGGATTAAAAGATGTTTCTTCACACTTTAGAAAAAGCTGTAGAGAGGGATCCAGCCAAAATAATGCAGAATGCTATTAAGAGCAGCAGGTAGTTTTTCAGTCCCTGCATAAACATTGTGGGATGGGAAAAGGAGGAACAAGAAGAGAAATAACATGATTTTGTAGAAATCGAAAACAGTATTGGCATGTTTGCCAATCAACAGATGTACATGCACTAGAATGCATTTTATAAGAATATTGGTGGCAAGGTTATGATTGCCTTTTTTTTTTAATGGTGTACACATTTTTTTAGGCTGAGGGCTACAGTTGGCCTTCTGAAGCTACACTTCAAAAAGCAGTGGGTGTAAATAGGACATAAATTAAATTTTAATTCATTTCATTTACATTTAAATGAGATTAAACGTGAGCCTCTTAATCCAATTATTTTTCAGGCATGTACTTAATTTTCCCCATCTGTCATGTTCAAAATGACAATCTGGTAAAACTTTTGGCAGTCTCTAAGAGCAGTAAGCAGCTTTGGGCATCACATTATCCCCTGGTTCAGAAAACATTCAACTCTCAGCTGATACATCTCACCTAGAAGACATGAGAATTTAAACTATTGACATTCTAGAAATATATGGAAGAAATAGAGACACAACTCAATTATCTAACTTGCTGCCCCATTTATTAAAAACACACTAAATGTCATATCTGAGGGACAGATAAAGGTATTGTATGGTGGGCAAAGGAGGTTTCAGTTGTTGTGTTCCATACCTTTATTTCTTTAAACACCAACACTCCCCACATTGCAGCTATAAAACCAGGACCCTAGAAGACGAATTTAATGAACAGTGTCTATGAGTGTTTAAGACAGGACAAAGTAAGTGGAAGAAAGTAACATTTTAAGAAAGCTCAAGAACCAATAATCAGAAAGATTTTATATTATTATTATCTCATAAGATATGCCCAGCGGCCAATAAAGTTTATTTTAAACATTATGTTAGGGGCTGTTCCTTTCTTTGAGTTTTTGTCTCTACACAACTAGGAAATAGGAAGAAAAAGACACTAAGCAGAGTGGAAAGAGAAATGCTCAGGGGAAACAGAAAATGAGGGGATGAGTGACAGCAAGGGTTGGGGGAGAGAAGGCTGTAGGTGTAGTCTCCTCCCTTGTTGAATTCTGAATAAGAGCCTTCTTCTAAATTAGCATTGTATTCATTAAAAATCCCCCTTTGCAGTCTTTAACGGTTTAGAATTGATAATGTGATTAGCTGGGTCTGTTGCTTATTGTGATGGAATGGAGTGGAGCAGCAGGTTTTCAGGAAGGAGGAAGCACGTTCCAGGAAGGCAGGGGGGAGACAAGAGAGAGCACAGTCCGAGCAGGAGTGTAGGAAGAGGAATTGACTTAGGATAGCCACTCCCTAGAATCTCCCAGGGTACATCCACTAGGTTAGAGTAGTACAGATTTAGTCTGGCAAGATTCTGTCCATATGGTGTAAGCAATAAAGGAACTGAACTTGGATGGATTGTTTCCCTGTTGTTCTTGGACTGGGCCTGACATTTACAACTGATTTCATCTATGTATTTCAGCAGCTGTACTAAGGCTACATTAGACATTCCTGCAAAACAAACAGTTATGGTACTGGCCAGATTCTGAAAGTGAAATGTATCCCTCTAAACAAGTCTGTAGCAAAACCAGATTGAAACAAAGCTCAGTTCTTGCTATACAGTCATCATAGACATATACGTGGGGCATTTCTTTGCTGTTTTTACTGATGACAAAACTGGAAAAACAAAACGAAACAACTGGGAGTACCAAAGATAAAGAACTGTAAAAAAACCCTTCTTCACTTGTTTCCAAGCTATCCAATTTCTTTTCTGCTAATGGCGTGACCTCGATTGTGCTCTACACTTTTAATCTCAGAAAGGCTCTGACTACTTTTATTTTCACTGTTATTTTATGTATCAGTAGAATCAGTACAACCACCGAGTTCCACAATTACTTGTGCATATGTGGGGAGGGACAGATGCTCTTTTCTCATTATTTCCTTCCACAGTGATATATTCTTTGTGAAGAGGTGGGAGAAAAAAGAAAAAGTTGTTAGCCCGTTCCTCATCGTAATTGTTACACTGGGTCTGTCAAGTGCAGCAGCAGTGAACACTGAACCTTGTGGGGTCATGGAGGGAGGGAATGCTTGTCTTCCCCTCTCTATAACTGCTTTGAAAACAAACAGAATTATCTGGCTGGCCTCACTGTTGTATGGCCACCGCAGCAGGACTCTGATACCAGGGACAGAAATCTAAGATCGGACCTTCAGCTTTGCCAGCCTTTGTGGCTAACACTTTCCAAGTTTGTGAAATCCTGATCTTGGGAAGCCCCCTGAGACTTCAAGGATAAGGTCCGCGGCCCTTCCCTAGAATGAATTCACAACAGAAACAATCCAGGATGGTGTCAACACTTATGTCTGCCCTATCAGTCTCAGTTAGGAGGACCTTCAAAAATAGGACTGCTACATCCTGCTCCCCCTGTTTGGATCCTCCTTTTATTACTTTATAGATTGGGGCCACCAGCCATTGGCTTTGCATAAGCAGAACCATATGAGCAGAGCCAGATGAAAGTCAATTTAAAATTTGAGATCAAACAATATTCTTCTAAGGAATAACATATAATGCGTTGCACAGGAAGAGCTCCTTGAGAACAGCACAACACCTGCATAAAAGAGAAACTTCAGCAGGCGCCTCCCTCCCACTTATTCACCGAGTGATTTCTGTGATACTTACAGCAGTGATTATTGGGAAGCTCACAACAGCACTGAGGTAGCGGTTTGCTAAGAACCAGCAGCAATTGGCTATTGCCCATAATATGCCAGAAATAAATCCTGACGAGAGGTGAGAAACAAGATTACTGTAGCATTACATCCTGGAGCGCTCCTGAATATTTCTGCCGGCACACTATGCCCTTCAAGGCCACGACAATTCATGGCCCTTCCAAGTTCTCTCATCTCTGGGATTTCCTTCCTTGATTTCTTTCCCGATTGTTTACTGGAGGGAGGGGGTGTTTCTGCAAATCCTGAGCTTTCCCTGTGCACCCAAATATCGTCTGTCAGGCCAGTGCTATCTGGGGAAAGGGTTTATTATTATATTCATAGAATCTAAGCTACAAAAGCTACATAAGGCTGGAGGGGAGGGACACTACGCAGGGAAAGAAGCAATTCATGGTCAACCTCCAGATCATATGCACAATATAGTACTGTGCTTTCACATGCTTATATGCACGATGTAGTTCTGATTCTTATAATAATCCTGTATTAGTCTTCCTATCAAGTGAAAGAAGTATTTTGCTTTTCTTATATTCAACATCAGAAATACGCAAGAGCCAATACTTCTGGAGCTCTAGCTCCAGCAGAATGAACTAAAGGGATTTATTTTTCCATTTACTGTATGTCTTTTCTCTATGAACGCTGAACAAGCATACTACATTAAATTAATATTCACAGAAAGGTATTTGATCTCAAAGGGCACTAAAAATCATGCCCAGCATAGCAAACCTCATGAAAAGGTACTTATTAATAAGGTATATATTCCAACCAGATTAATATTTGTTTTCACATGATAGTTATACCTGGTATTATAGCTGCAGGATAAACCTTAGGGTTATTTTTCATTGCTGCACAGTAGATCAAAAAGTAGATAGTACTTGTAAGGAAGATGCCGCTGAAGTGGGCAAATACATAATCTAAATCTGAAATAAATATCAAGGGATATACAATACATAAATATATTTAGGAAATACGTTCGGGAAGTTCACCAGTGTTATGCACAGATGTGATTACTTAGGAAAGATCACATGTTATAGTCATTCACTATGTATTAACTGGGGGATTTTTGTTCTAATTAATCAACATTTTCATATCCCTAATAAAAATAAGCACAGCTGTAACTAGAAGACGCATGAAAGTTGAGAACTCCCTGGGCTACAAGATTTATAGTAAGTAGCATTGCTCAGTGAGGAAAAAGAGTCTCCATTCCTATTATCACAATCTTTTCAGGAAACTGTGAAGCAAAGAAATTCTAGCAACAGATATTACAGCCTTCTGTGAGTTGCCTCCAGAGAATGGGACCTACTGATAATTACAGATGCTAAAGACCATAAAACAATGAAAACATGATAGAAAAAGGCGTGCCCTCTCAAAAGTTCTCCCCCAGTCTTTTTTCCTCTTTCTTAAAAATTCTGTTTTTTTAAAATACTGAATAACTATTTTAAGACAATGCATTCACACACTGAAGCCTTTTTATTTTCTTATAATTATTATCTTAGAAACTGCTGCACAAGAGTGTTCATTTCTTATGCTAAGGATAAGTACTACTTGCAAGCACTTCTGCTTCAGAGACCCTTGTAGTTTTCACTACAGAAGAAAAAATAATCTAATGTCTTTTGTAAAGAATGGTGGATATATCTGCCCTCCTACTAGACTGCTTAGGTCTCAGACAGAAAATACAGTGGAATGGGCAGCAATCCATTCAGATCTGAAACAGAGGTTGCCCAGTGTGCTAAGGAGAGGGCAAGTCTAAAGATTTTGGAGCCCCTCTTCCTGACCCTGTTAGTCTGCCCTTGAAATCCACAGAACAAACAAAACACACACACACAGTAAAGAGAACACTATACAGGTGGCCTTCGTTGTCCTGTTTCACTAGCCATACTTTCATATATCCAAAGTTATAAAATATATACCTAATGTGCAATCCACAGTAAACAACTCCCATTTTCCCACAATCTGGGGTGCCTTTTGGTGTAACATGTACAAACTGCAGACAAGCTTTTACATAAAGTACATTTTTTCATGGTCTCAGTTTCCACAGTCTAGTTATTTGCAGTTGTTTGGCTGGAACAGAACCTCAGCAAATAACAAGGGCAACCTATCTATATATTTTAATGTAATCAGTATATTATACTATATTTTATTTAAATGAGCATCTTTTCTTAACCTGCATAAATCGGTAAATTCTTACTAATGTGATATTTTCGGGCAATATCACGCAAACGGACATACTTTTAAATCTATTAATCAAGAACACTTTTAAATGTAACACAATAATTTTAAGATCAAGCTAAATAATTCATATTTATTTTCCTAAAGTAAGCAATTGATTTTAGAACAACATAGTCCACTAAAAGTACTGTGAAATCTACTACTAAGGTAGTTGGCGTGAGAGATGTAAAAGGAAGACAAGAGGGAGTCCTCTTGGCAGGCAGCAGCATCCCTTCATTCAGCGCCTTCATAACTTTGAACAGTTGCTGAACAAATGGTCATTAAGCAAGGACTATCCATACATTACTTTCAGAAGAAGTCATCTGCTTTTACCAAATTGACTGGCTCCTGTATACACAGTTCCATTTCTTCTGCCGTGGTCCTTGATGTAAAGCACAGGTACAAAACTAGAGCCATACAATATCCCAGCTATCACAGCCAAAGAGCAGCCTCTTGCAGGAAAAGAAAGACAAAGATATTTCAAACTGACTGAGTTACAACATTAATTGCACACGAATCACAGAAAACTGCACATCACAGAATCACAGAAAACAGAACACTGTTGGAGAACCGCTGCTGATTTTCAGAAATTCTAATCAAGGAAGAAACAGCAAATGTTCTTGACTGCGACTAAATGATTAGAGTTTACCATCTCTTTTGACTAACATCTATCGCAGAATGCAAGTCACAGGGAATAAAAGATGGCAGAGGAAAGATGCCCAGAACTTACACCATTCTCTTTCCCAATGGAGAAAGGTTGTCCACCCAAGATACATCGCTCCTGTTTTCAACTCTGTATTCAGAAGTGTTGATAGACTGTTGATGAAAATCAAAACATTTAATTTTTTAAGATTTCCAAATGCATCTGAATGCATCCAAATCAGTCTTTACTTGATAGACAGAACTCTATTAGAAAAGGGAATTGAGTGGTACAGTTGAAAACTACCTTTTTTGAAAATCCAAATCAACACATTCCCCTGCTTACTGGAAGGCTTTATATCAGCTTTTATAATTATTAAGCAAATTATAAATTATTTTGTAACATTTTATTTAAAGTTGCAAATCAATGCACATCTTCCTAAATGAAATGTGAGGAGACATGTATTGAATTAAACTGTTAATATGCTTTCTGTAACAAAAAAAAAAGTTTGTTATACATTGATGGAAGAAAGAACTGTCCCACTTATTTCCAAAATAGTTGGATGTAAAATCTATTAACACATTTTCTCTGACAGTATGCAGGTATATATCACCAGCATTTTCCCCCAGACTCAACCATTCAGTAGCCCTTCCTCTTTTTCTGATGCTCTGCATTGATGTTCACAGCCACTGACATTCAGCCCAACTGTAATGATATGATGTAAGCACAATTTATGTGCTATCTATCCTCTCCATTCACAGGATAGATACTATGTACAGTATTGACCCAGGTACTTCCACACCTCTTCTACAAATCGTGCAAGAGCTCCTTATCCTTGTAACAAAATGGATGTTAAGAACACAGAACTGGCCATCCTCAATTTCAGACACTTTTCCTAACAAGATTTTTCTAAAGCCAGCAAAGTGCAATAACTTAATCTACAAAACTATAGACATCATGGTTCCAAACCCTATTCAACCATAAAGCTCCCTGGATAACACTGGATCAGTTACTATTTTTCAGCATTGACTATTTCATATAACTGTTATAAGGATAAAACAAGAAAGAGGAAAAGATTATAAATCTTGAAAGAAAGCTGTGATACTAATGCTAATATTAATATTACTACTAATTTATTATCGTTTTTAATGCTCTCTGCTTGCCACAAATTTTTTTTTTTAGTTATGGAAAGAAAGTTCAAACTCTATATTCTTAAAGCTTATTTAACAGAATTTATTTTACTTAGTATATATTTCACTAAATGGAGGCTTATTCTGCTTAATGTACTTAAAGTGTAATTCAATAAAATTTTCCTTAAAGTATTTTAATTCCACCCTCCTAACACAAGGGTGATTTAATTCAAAGTGGTTCACAAGCAGGGATAAAAGCCAGAAAGCCTATTAAAATATATAGTTACAGGTAGCCTTGCTTAATGACCACAATTGGGACTGGAATTTAGGTTGCTAAGCGATGTGATTATTATGCAAATTATCATGTGACTGCTTCACTATGCCAGCAGTCTTGGTTGCCGTTGTTAAGTGAATGCCTCGGTCATTACGCGAGGCAACTTCTTGCTGGCTTCCCACAATCAAGTCAGTGGGGAAGCCAGCAGGAAGTTGCAACCCCAGGTGCTGTTGGGTGGGTGGGGGAGTGAGAGGGTGCGTGGGAGGGTCAGGGAGGGTGCATGGGGGTGCGGTGCAAGTCGGGGGTGCCTCAGAACCACTTGGATTTTCAACCCGAGTCGAGAGGCTTCTGAAGCCTCTCCACTCCAGGTCTGAAAATCCTCCATGGCTAAAAATCCTGCTTGGATTTTGGCACAAGGCACTTCCAGCCAGCCCCAGAGTTGAGAGGGAGTCCTCAGCAGGCGGCAGCGGCTTGCAATTGCCAAGCACCCTGAGATCATGTGATTGCCATTTTCAATCTTCCCTGCTGGCTTCCCCAGAAAGTCCCATAGGGCCCAGCAGCTAAACTGGGCATGCCTCGTCAGCAGCGGGAACAAGAAGATGGTGGCAAAGGTTAGCTGGGGTGACAAAGCACAGGGCGGCAGGAGGCCAAAAGGGCAGAGAGGGGGGGAAGATATGTAGGTGGGGGAGCTGAAGCGCCCCTGTGGTCATAAGTGCAGGGAGGCTGCGAAGTGCCTGAATTTTGATCACGTGACTGTGGGGGTGCTGCAACGGTCGTAATTTCAGGCACAGGTCTTAAGTCCATTTTTCCAGCACCACCGTATTTTTGAACGGTCGCTGAACGAATGGTAGTTAAGTGAGGACTACCTGTACTAAAACCCAGGTCTCGAGCAATGGTAGTATCAGTCACTGGCAAGCAAACAACTAAACAAACTATCAGCTAAAGTTCAGATAAAGAGGACATGATAGCCATCTACCAAATATCCAACAGAACAGACAAATGCTTACCAGAGGTTAGGTATGTTCTCACTTCATGCTCATTACTAGTTATTCAGCCCTTGATAAATATGTAATTTAGCCCTTGAAAAGTCCTGTTTGAGTAGATCTACCATAGTGAAAATCAGCAGTCTGGAACTAATTCATTCAGGAATCTATTTGAATCAGGGGAAAAGAAGGATTTACCACAAAGCTTTGGGCAGCAAGTAGTTGGAATAAGCCCCATATTAATGTTTGTTCCACAACAGAGGCATACATTTACTGGGTTGATAGCCAGTGTCATGTGATGGTACGTTTACATCAGTATTTCTCAACCTCAGCAACTTTAGGATGAGTGGACTTCAACTCCCAGAATTCCCCAGCTTTGCTGGCTGGGGAATTCTGGGAAATGAAGTTTACCCATCTTAAAGTCACTGAGGTTGAGAGACACTGTTTTACATCCTCTCTCCACAGCAGCTCTGAAGGCAAGGAGATTATCTGGGCTGATCAGCTGCTGAAGCAAGCTCTATCAGTGGAAAATTAATAGGCTTTAGCCACCATCCTGAAAACTGTAACAACAACAAAAAAGAAACATACCTGTTCTCTTAATAATGGAGTGCTTTCTGAAGATGGTGAAGAGTTCTGAACTTCACTTTTTATGAAAAGAAATATGATGGTGCTGCAAAGAGATAACATCAAACACTAAGCCCAGGATTATATAGTTTATCCATATAGTTATGCAGTATATATTTGAGCTATCTGGTGTTTCTTTTTCTTTACCTGCTGCAATGTATTACACTTTAATATCTAAAGAAAAAATATTTATACATTTTCCAAACATTATTAATTTAAAAACAATCCAATCCAATATTTATTTACTTGGAACACACACAGGAATCTAGTGGGATATCCTTTCTAGTAAAGCATGTTTAGGATTGTAGTTTAGGTCACATGAATAAAATAGATACACCTTGATTCATTTGATTTTGAACGCTTACAGACATTTTAAAATGTAAATAATCATTTCATGTAAATGTAATGTAAAACATAAATAATCATGCTTCTGTTTTTAAAAACCTCAGTACTGAAAGTGCTGCTCCAACGTAATTCAGAACTGGTCTTCTGACTTCTTCTGGGTCAATTCCAAACCAACCAAATCTATAAAATGGGAGATTAAAAACATGTATAATTTTCTCCAAATTTCACAATGATTTTTTTAAGTTATAAAAATGAACTGAGCACAAGAAAAGAATAAGGAGATAAGGATATATTTACAGATAATCAGTAATAATCATAACCCTTGCACAAATACATTCTCTCTCTCTCTCTCTCTCTCTCTCTCTCTCAGAACAAGCACAATGAAAGCATTAATTAGGGAAACACCGTAACTGCAGTTTAACTACTGCTACATACAGATATATAAATAAATCTATCCATGCAGATAACATTGTTTTGTTCCTTTATACTATTAACATCAAGGATGAGCAACGTGTGGTCCTCTAGATGTTGCTGAATATGTTCAACATCAGAAAGCATGCACACTGATCTAAACCATTACATTTAAAACACTTGAAATGTCATACTATTCAGAGTGAATGCTACTTTGAAAATTTTGAAAAATTACTAAATGCTTAATGCCTATTAGCATTTCTATATGCTTTTATGTTATGGTGAACTTATTCAATATAGCGAGTGGTTTTTTGGGGGGTGGGGTGGGGTGGAAAAGAAAGAATCTGCCAAAAGAGGTCTGTAACTTATTGAAGCCACCGTATGAGCAAATAAATATGGAATAATTACATTCAAATATAAGAAGTCCAATAACATTTCTAAATCTAATCTTGTGAGCAAGAGAATGTAATCCTCTTGCACAATTAATTACAAATAGGTATGATATAGAGAGGGAAAAAAAAATCTTCCTCCAAGAATTTTATTTATGAGCTTTGATTAAATGGTAGAAATACAAGCACGGTTCCCCAGAGTTAAGGTTAAGCATGCAGCATATTTACCTTGAACTTGCCCAGCCAGTTATCAAGTTAAAAGAAGCCCAGATTAAAAGACCAAGGCCTAACCCAATGGTTTTAACAACTGGGACAACTGTTACATTACCTGCACAGAAGAATGAAACCCACTGATTAGACAGAAGCAGTAATACCTGTTTATATCATTATAATGAGCTATAATAGTCACTACCACTAGTGTACATTTAATACCCATTATGGTTTGGTGGATAACATTTCCTCTATCTAAATTTGTCTGAATATTGGGCATGCATAACTCTTAAACATTCAAATGCAACAGAGATTTGTGAGATTTTGCTGACTTACATTTCTTGCTATGTTCATCAGCCATGCTCTGTGCTGACTACAATGAAACGAAGCATAATTCACAAATATTACACATTCCAATCCTGTATGTGAGGAAAGATACTGAGCAATCAGGAAAACTGTATGAAGTAGCTCTCCTCACATACCCTAGTACACCTCGAGAAGCTTATCACATGATGATGCTCCTGGTGGGCAGGACATAACAAATGTCTCCTCTGAGGGATTTTAGGTTAATCCCATTATATTATCATAGCTAAGTGCTCTGGTTGATATAAACACCTTTAAAATATAACCCATATTTTAAATAAATGCCACATTTTAATTTTCTAGTGTAAAAAAAAAAAATGAAAACCTTTTCCTAACCTACTTTATTAGTGTCATTGTTGCATTATTCTTTCTGAAGAAATCCAGAATGGCATACAAAACAATTAAGAACAGTCTCCAATAAAGACAAGTACATAAAAACATTAAAAACAAAGTAAATACCCATAAAGCAAGACCATAAAAACATTAAAAATCATTTAGGTTTCAGAGCAGTTGTTGCTCTGCAAATGCCCAGATGAACAAGTGAGTCTTCACTTGTCCTTTAAAACAAGTGCCTGCGGAGTCCAGCTATACTTCTGCTATTGCTAATCACAACATTTCAAGCAGGAAAAATACAGGTGTCATGAATGACACAGCGGTTGGTTCCTTGTCACCCAGATATCTCAATGTGTGTCATAACTCAGATTATAACTCAGTACGTTGTTGAGCTCAGGTTTGTTATATTTTACAGCACTCCTGTAAACCATGCAAACTGCGACAGATCTTTCTGTAGTAAATTCTGAAGGAGAAGGATTATTCAGTATTACCTGTAGCCCATAAAAAGCCACCAACCATAGCAAGAGGCCAAAATCTAGGGCTGTTCTGAATCAGGTTAACAATTAAAGAAACAATCCAGATAGCAGCACAAAGAACCCACTGAAAGAACATTCCTAGAATAAAAGAAGAGCACAAAAATTATTTATAATAATTGATAAAATACGTATATATGGGTTTGTGCATGTGTGTGTAATGCAGGTTTCTGTACTTGTGAAACACTTTTTATTTGTTGAATAAAGATCTGTGATGTTATGGAATGTTTACAAATGATACTGCAGCAACAGAAATAAAAGGGTATGTTAGCTACTGTTCCGCCTCAACCAGACATTAAGGGCAGTAAAAATCTTTTTTAAAAAAGTCTAGATGCTAAAGACAGATAGAAGAAAAGAGGTCCCTCAAAATGGAAAAAGTAAAAGGCACGGTGGTGAAGAGGAGGCAGTAAACTGAGAAGCTATACCCTGAGAATACACAGAGATGCACTAATAGGATCAAAAAGAATGTAGGAAAAGGTCACAGAACAACGGAAGGTGAAGAAGTAAAATTGTTGAACCAAGAGGTTGTCTGGTCAAACTACCTATTAAAAAGTTTAAGCTGGTTTCTTTTATTCTGAAGATCCAAAATACGTGCCCTGCCTAGATACTGCTGAACATCACCAGTATCTCCTTTACCTCCAAAGGTCTGTAATAAATAGTGCCCTTGAGTGTAAACAGCAGCTGGTGAGAAAACTGAGTCTGGCGGGTCAAGCTGGGAGCACATTCTAAGTCAAGACCCCCACAGCAATTTTTCGTTCAAAATAAAAGTGGCTGACCTAAGCATGCTGTTTAAAAATAATGTGCTTAATATATAACACACAACTTAGTCTTGCATTATGGAAAAATCAGTATTCAAGAAATACCCTTTTATAAAAGCTTGCAACAGAACTGAACTGAAATAGAAGACAATTTTTTCCTTTATCTAGGGGAACTAAATAGCTTCTAGACCATTTATCTAGATCCTATGTGTCATGTAATAATTTACAAGAAATATCAACTATTCATTTTGTTGAAAGGGCAATTATCCTGGAGAATGCAACCTGTTTCAGGCTGAGGGCTGCACTTTAAAAAAAAAAAAAAAAAAAGGGGAAAATAAAGGAAAATAAGGGGGGAAGCCAAAAAAAAAACAAGGGTTGTTTAAATTTTTTTTAAAAAAAATTTAAACAACCCTTGTTTTTTTTTTGGCTTCCCCCCTTATTTTCCTTTATTTTCCCCTTTTTTTTTTTTTTTAAAGGGCAGCCCTCAGCCTGAAACAGGTTGCATTCTCCAGGATAATTGCCCTTTAAAAAAAAAAAAAAAAAAAGGTGAGACTAGAGCAAATAAGTGGGTGAGGCCATAACAAAACCAGAGTTGATTTAATTGTATTTAAACACAATTAATATAATTATGAGCGGTATACTTATATTTCATAATGTTTCTTTTACATTACATTAAAATAATAATTTTACAGTAAGTTTTGGAACTCTGTGCACTTCTGGGTTAGTGAAATGCTTCAGCCCACCTAGAAGTATCCTTTATTTGCCCTTTCATTTATTTATTTTTCAAATTTATATATGCCGCCCATCTCACTATACAAGTTGACTCTAGGCAGCAGCTAGATAGCACCTGGAATTATTTAAAGGGACTCTCAGGTCAAAATAGATGAAGTGCCAACTACTTGCACACAGCACACAGAACACTTGCACACATGGTCACAGAAATTTTGTTTAAGAATGAGCATTTACCATCCCCAGTGTCAAACTTCTTCACTGGTACAAAGTTTGTTCCAAATAAGACAACAGCGACTGCTGAAGAAGTAAAGCCAATGGTTAGATCTGTTGTATTACTGCTGACAGAGTGGGGGATTCCTTGCCAGTTCTCCATTTGCTTTCAGTCTCTGACTTGACTCTGTAAGGAATTCTCTGGATTTCCTTTCTTCTGGCAGCACTGGAAGGAGAGACCATTGAGCAAATGACATGTCAAAATATTTACAAAGGCCTCATGCTATTATTACTATATGATGCACCCTTTATTCTGATTTGTTACAATTAGCATTTAGGTAAAATTAAAGCAGTAATTCAAAACAAGGATTAGGTAATTAAAAAAAATGGATCACCACCGATAAAAACATTTACAAAAGCAATTAACAAAACTAATCTCGACCCTATGTCAAGTTATAGAGGGAAAATGGGACCATGCCCATCAGCTCTGTCCATAATTTTGGTGCATTTAGTGGGCTCACACTGAAGTTCACACATTCAGTTTCATGTTGCAAAATGATGCCTATCCATATTCGGCAGATACCTGAAAGCTTCTTCTGTGGCTGGAAATTCCAATATGTGGAATCCTCAGCTACATGTTGACAGAGGTGCTACTGGTCAGTAGGAAAACAGACTCTGGAGGTGGTGTCCATCTTATTCTGGAAGAGAGCTGCATTTTCCTAAAAGCATAGGTCTACAGAGCTCCCCTTAACTCTCATCTGTCTTTGGATCCCCAGGATGTGGGAACAAGGATTATGTCTAGTACAGCAGCTTTGACTATTCCTGCATTGGCCAGACCGAAGATTACATCCTAATCTGACTAATGAAATGTGATTTATATGGAATTACCCTTAAACAGCATCTGGAAACTTCAATTGATGCAAAATGTGACAGACTGACTACCAGTGGGCAATAAGCAGGAACACATTAGAGTAATTTCAGCCTAATTTAGTTTTAACAGTAATTTGAATTGCTTTTATGAGATGTTAAGGACTTTTGTTCTCAATAGTAGAGAATATCTGTAGTTAGGGTTGACTGTTGGGTTCTTGGTGTTCCCTGAGCTTGGATGTTTTCCTGCAGATGCTTCATTAGCAGGCTAGGTAACATCAGTGCACTGATTATGTTACCTAGCCTGCTAACAAAACATCTGCAGGAAAACAACCAACCTCAGAGAACACCAAGAACCCAACAGCTTTTGCTTTATTTTTTGTTACCAGCTTGGGTGCCCCCGAGGAAAAAGGCAAGAATAAACTGTAAAAATAAACACATAGGCTGCCTTTTCAGATGCTGTAGCAAATGCAGATGTCATTGAACAGAACATATAGACACAAGGCTTTGGGGGGCACGCCTGCTTCCTCACTGTGACTTTTACACAAGTGGTAGACTTGTGAGCCTCACTGAGGTTTCATAACTACTCTCAACATAACTCTGTAAATAAATATTCAGGGAAAGAGGATTGGGTTTTTCGTCAGGACTCAAAAGGACCTGAACCTAACCCAATACACTGGGCTGTATCTGCTATCTCAAAGTATGAATTGGCCATTTAATTTCCTACAATTCTTTGCCCTTACTTTCTTCTGAAGCACTGTGCACAATTAAAGACATTGGACATTTACCAAAAGGCATTACGCTCAAGGAGCAAGTCCTGGGAAGGGAAGGACTCTCCCACAGAGATTCATTTTGACTCCAGGAACAACTGTGGCTGAACTACAAATCCCACCATCTCTCACCATTAGGATATTGCCTAAGGCAGCCGGGAATTAAAGTTCAACACCTGGAAGTCCACAGATTGCCCACGTCTGTGTTATGATACCTAAAAATAGCTATGGCACTTTCATTTTGCAATACCATGCAGTGCTTTTATTACTAGAAGCATTCCTAGCACATGGTTTAGTTCTCAAGTCAAGCCATTCAAAACTTTTTTTTAAAAAATGGGGTGATTTATCTGATTTGAATTTGATGATAATTGTATTTGGAGCTTCTTTTTTCCCATATGCTGACTACTGAATCGGGTCAGACTATGATGAACTACAATTCCTATAACTCCAAGATGACTAGGCATCTTACCTAGAACTTATCTAGAAAGGAGCAAGTAGGTGAAAACTACTTCAGTGACTGAACGCAGGATGAATTTATTCCAGCTTTCCTCCACCTTGTAACCCACAGGACTATAGCGTGTGGAATGCCCAGCCAACTTGCTCTGCGGGCAAGAATGCTGGCATGTTTCATTCGAGCACGTTTGGAGGGCACAAGGTCGGGACAACTAGCCAGTCCAAACGCTTCCGGTATTTGGATAAGGTTGCAATCACCTCTTTCTTCGGCTCTTCAAGAGGACCTTCCCTTCCTTTCTGTTTTGCTGAGAATTTACAGAATTTACGCCACCGAAACCAACACTTATCTGTGTAATTCCTTGCTTGCTTTTAGTAGAAAGGCAAATGTTGCTTTCCGTATACAGTACTGGTGTTATTTACAAGCCATCCGCCCGGTTCTTGCTTCCTGCTCCGATGACTTCCAGCGCCAACGGCTGTAAGAAGCAAGGAGCTCCGCCCCGTTCTCACATGACGCGTCTCCACAGTTCTCGGGCCAGATCCCAGCCGCCAAAGTCTAGGCGACCTCGGGATGGCAGCGACGGCTTAGCGTTTACTGTAGCTATTTGCTGCCATGTTGTGGTCGTTTGGATTTTTGCAGCCCAGATCTGGTAGTAGCCTCACCGTGGCGATACGTTGTGTATTTTAAAAGCCACGTTCTTGTCGGAGCTTCGTTGCGGGCAAACTACGTTGTTGGGTCTATTCAAAACGTAAGGAAGGAGACGTCAAAAGGAAAACGGATTCCACGCTTCCAGCGAGGCACCCGCCAACGGCTGAAATCTCGCGTCAGTTCTTAAAGCTAGGATCCCGCGAGATTAGAGCAGAAGGGAAAAAGGAAAATGGCTTTTTTGGAAGTAGCTTTGCTTCGCGACTCTGCTTGGTGAAAGAGGGTAGCATTAAATTTAACCGGCCAAGGAGGAATAGTTATGTGGCTTTTTCAGAAGAGCAGACAGCGTTAGTCAGCTGCAGGAAGAAAAAAAAATCCTGTACTATTTTAAAGACCTACAGATTTTTGTGAGATTCTGGATACGTTCGCACGGCGCATCAGGGCACCATCCAGCTGGTCGCGTTTTAGCCTGATGCGTCTGCTCGTGTGGTTAGTGCAAAACCAGTTATTAGACTGAGAGAACCAGGATTGTGTTCTGGCAAACAGAACTGAGGGAGAAGGAGAGAGAGAATATGAATTCTGTGCTTGACTGTCTCCTAGTGATATCACTGAAACACTTCCGGACTCAGGTTGGCAAGACAGATCATTTTAATACAATATGGCTGAAAACTAATTTCCCTCTTTCCAAAAAAAAAAAAAAAAAAGTTAGTTTCTGCAGTTTTTGCAGGTAGGGGAGCTTTGCTGTTATCAACCATTATTCCTTCTCTTTTGGAATGCGTGGGCTTCTCTTTTAAATGACCAGCAGCCATGTGGTGCCATTTGGAATGAGGCCATTAGCAGCTTTCTCGTCTCGTGTTACTACACCTTTTGGCCACTGAAAAATCTGCAAGGCACAAAAAAGAAGGTACTGCTGCCTTTGGGATCAGCTGGAGCTGAGACAAAGGCTGCATCATGAGCTAAAACCAAATAATAAAAATAAAATAAAAAAATCTGAAACCAGTTATTGAGGTGTCTTCATGCCATGGTTAGCAGGGCATAAGGATAAGCAGAGTGCATGGCTTAACTATATTTTTGGGAGATGCACTAAATCTGTATTAGGATTACTAGATTTGTGCTGCAAAACTCTGGACACCAGAGGAAAGGAAAAAGTTTGAGTTTTCAGCATCTGTTTACTGCCATTATCTGGATTTTTGCAGACCAGATCTACAGTATAACCTGCTTTTTCTCTTAGGAGTTCAAGATAGCATTCATAGGATCACCCCTTATTTTACCATCATACTAGCACATTGTGGCATAGGTTGAGAGATATAATATACACTGTGCTTCATGGTCAAGTCGGAAGCCAAGTCCAACTAGCCAATTTTAACTTCACACATGAGAAAAGTTGCAAAGGAAATTCCTCCCCATAGATGGCTGAACAGGAAGATGGCTATATTTCTGTATTACTTATTGCTTTGTCAACTGCAGTAGCCCTAAATTGGAAATAAAACAATTTGTCACACAGGGAAGAATATTAAGCTAAGAAGATTGGTGTAACACTGTTAATATACCTCATTAGTTATTCACTGTTAATCCTGTCACTTCAAAAGTCTGTGTATATTTCTCAGATCTCTGAACATCTAGACTGATCCATGAGTCTATAAAAATTAAATCTAAAATCACGTGCATTTCCAGTAGGGCAGTGTTGTCCAAACTTGGCCACTTTAAGATGAGTGGACTTCAACTCCCAGAATTCCCCAGCCAGCATGGCTAATTAGACAGAATCTGCTGATACTAACCTATTAGCACTGGCATTTATTGCACAAGAGCAATGAGCGTGTGGATCTCTTCCATTTAATTATTGGGAACTAGTAATATGTATTATTTTGACCCAGTGAGCAGAGGTGTTTTGGATCTGGCATGAGTATCTTCTCACTACCTGTTGGCTGTTTCTAAAGCCAAACTTTCTGGAACACATAGTAGTTGTATGAGCTCAGTAAAATATATATCTGAGTTAAGGAGATGACAATGTTTTGCCACCTTTTTTCTGTTGTCTTAACTCCACCTTAATACATATTTACCTGAGGTTAAGCAGATGAAGGATATCAGCAAGCAAGGTGAATGGAAGACATGTATCCAGCTTTAATGAAGTTCTGAGTCTGGGATTCAGAAGTCCTTTTATGTTTTAGGTCCAGGCCAAATCTTGAACTTTTGAACTTTGATTAGTTCTGGTCCAAACCATCTGACTCAGCTCTTGCAAGTTTCAAAGAATGCTTTTCTTTTCTCTGGACTTCAAATGTCCTTGATAAGATCTGATAACTTTCTCACCCAGCTGCACCATTTATTTATTTTATACATTCAATTTATTCTCTGCCCATCTCCCCCCAATGGGGAACTCTGGGCGGCTCACAAAGTACATATATAAACCCAACAGTGACAAATCTTTATAATTAGTGCTATATATCTATGACGCTATGTGACCAGCAGGGGTCGCTAGGGGGTCATCCGGGCTTTTTCCTCCTCCGTAAATCTTTCTCGCCGCTCGCATCAATCGTCGCTCGTGCCGGCTGCATTTGGAGTTCGGCCAGCACCAGTATTTTGCTCCCCTGCGCAGCACCGCCGGTTCCTCCCATCTAAACGGGAGTCCCTATTTATCTACTCGCAGATGGAATAGCTTTCGAACTGCTGGGTGGGCAGGAGCTAGGACAAG